CCCAATCAGCCTCGTTTTGGCCTCAATTCCAGCAGAGACATGAGGAAAGCTGGAATGAGGCTTAAAAATGACCCTCTTAGGAGCTAAAAACACAAATTTTTCTCATTTAAACAACTGCAAATAAATGCCAGATATTTAGAGTATTCCTGCACTATTTTATCAATTTGTTTAAAACAAAATGGTTTAAAAAAACAGACCTGAACTGAAAAAAATCCAGTGAATTCTAACTGAATGAGGAGGGGTGTAAAGATGAACTCCTCCAGTCTGAGCAGAGCAGCTAAATCCAGAGTTGTGCAGCTAAAGGGGAACTGGTTTTATCTGTGACCCGTACCTTGAACGGGGCGCGGGGCGCCCGCTGTGACCTGGTGGCTCTGGGCTCCGGACAGAGTCAGCTTGTTGCCCTGCAGCTGGAAGGTGACGGGTTTGCTTCCCTGGCAGGACGAAACCGGCCGACCCGCCAGGGACGCCAGCTGAGCGATGCTCACCACCTCACCGGCTGGAAGAGGAGCACAAACAACCAGTTCACACAAAAAACCCGGAAAAAACCCCAGCTAACTCAACTCAACTTTATTTATAAAGCGCTTTCAGTCAGCCAAAGCTAAAATCAAAGCGCTGTACAGGTCATTTGAGCAGATCATAAAACACAATTATCACCTCCACACAAGACAAACTCAAAGATTAAAAAACAGTAAGAGCAAAAAAAAATAAAATAAGAAAAAACAAAACCAAGTAAGAGAGGGAAATTAAGATAAAGTCGAAGTCTAACTCAAAGGCCTGAGAGAAAAAGTGGGTCTTTAAAAGGGTTTTAAAAGAGCGGAGTGTAGGGGCCTGTCTGATAAAAAGGGAAAGCTGGGTCCCCTCTGAGCTTCCGCTTTGCTCTAGGTGCTTTTAGAAGGAGCTGATCGGCGGATCTAAGGGACCGAGCAGGACAGTAATTTTGTAGCAGCTCAGAGAGGTATGGTGGAGCTAGGCCATTTATTGTCTAGCAGGAGATTTGGGTAAGAAAACACCAACAAACAGGACTAAACGGGATGTTTCAGAGGAAATCGCGCGGATTTCTCCTCATAGACTTTAGTTTCTAATTCAAATCCAATCCAAGTTTACAAAATGTAGCAAAAACAGCTCAAAACTCTCATGATTTTAAAACTTTAAGTCTAAAACTCTAGTTTGGATCAGAGGCTCAGATGTTTATCCAGAAAGTGCTCATTAAATGGAGCCATTTGTGTCCTTGTAGGCAGTTAGATGGAACAAAACCAGTCAGGACTCATGAGAAACAGGAGCTTAAAGCTGGAAACTGGAGCTAAACGTCTGTCTGTGTGTTAAACGACTTCAGGAGAGATTGAAAACGTCTTTCAGTGTTCAGTGGAGAAGCTTTTTGGCTTTTTTCTGCAGCTTTTGAACAAAGTTAGAGGACTTTTGGTGACGTTTCGGAGAATATTAGAGCTGATTTTGGAAAAATAAAAGATAGAAAGTGTGATTCTCTGGACTTGAGTTTGGATCAGAGGCTCAGATGTTGGAGTTTTATCTAGAAAAATCTCATTAATTGAAGCCATTTGTGTCCCTTTAGACAGTTAGATGAAAAGGACTCATCAGAAACAGGAGCGTAAAGCTGTAAACTGGAGCTGAACGTATGTTTTGACTTCATAAGTGACTGAAAATCTCTTTCAGTGTTCAGTGGAGAAGCTTTTTGGCTTTCAGTGACTTTCAGTGACGTTTAGGAGAAAATTAGAGCTGATTTTGGAAGGAAAAAGGCAGAAAATGTGATTCTCTGGACTCTGGTTTGGATCAGAGGCTCACTCAGACTCAAACTCAAACGTTTGATCACAGACAAAAAAAAGAGAGAATCCGGGTCCTGATGTGGGTTCACTCTGGGGATGGGACGGTTTCTGAAAACCGCCCGAACCGTTGGGTTGGACTGTCTCGGTTTGGTTCGCGTGTGTTGCGTTCGGTTCATGCTGCTCCTTTTTCTCAGAGGGAAGCGTTTACACTCCAGACCAGAAGGGGGCGATACTGCGCCCAAAGCCAACCACCAGTAGGAAACAAGAAGAAGAAGCGAAGCAGCGTAGCCGATAAAAATCAGACGCGCCAACAGCAGTTTATCTATAGGTCTGCTGTACGGGACCACTTTGCATTTAGAGGGAATTGCAAGAGCTGTTTCCTCTCTTTCAATGCCAGAATCTCACCTACTTTTAACCTAAGACTGTCACAATAATGTATCAAATGTCAGACTGCTTTTTTCTTTCAGTTTTAACCTGACTATACAAGACATAATAGATTTTCCTAACAATCAACATACACCGAACCGAACCGAAAACCGTGACCACGGAACCTTGAATCGAACCGAACCGTGGGTTTTGTGAACCGTCCCACCCCTAGTTCACTCACAGGGGAGGCGGGCCTGCATGTCGGGGCTCAGCAGGACCCTCTGGGGCAGGACGCTGCTGGGGGCCGGGCCCGGGTGGGCCGGCATGCAGGGGGCGCCGGGCGGGCGCACGGTCAGCAACGGTCTGGGGGCACTGGACCTCACCGCCGTCTGGGTCGCCGTGGCGACGGGGGGGCGGGGGGGGGCCGTGGGAGCAACCGAACACACCACTGAAAGCAGAAAAGGAGGAGATAAGCACTAAAATCTAAACATTTACTTGTGATGCTTATATTGTTTATTATATGTTATTTTTTATGCCTTTGCCTGCCTAGGGACTACGGATGAAAATTAGCTTTGTAGCTACAATCCGGCATATTTACATTTGTTTTTATACTGATGTTCATTAACTCATTGACTGCCAGCCATTTTCAGAACAGAGAGTCCCATACTGCCAGAGTTTTTTGAGCATTTTGACTGATTTTTCAAGAGCCACAGAATAGTTTGTGCTATGACTATGTAAACACCGAACACACCAAAAGAAAGAGTAGACTCTCTTCTTTCATCAGGAAAAAATAATTGTTTCTACCTTATTCCGTTCTTCCTGGACTTGCGTCTCACCGGCGACATGTTCTCTCATAGAACCGTTCCCTTTTTCTTATTTGCCTACAGTCTATGCTCATCTCCCATCAAAAGTGGCACTGCCCCCTAGAGGGTCAATTTGTTACTACATACTCTGTCTAGAAGCCGATATTTACGGACAATCTTTAGCAGATCGTCCCCCAGCCACTCGCGTTGAAAAACATAAAAGACGTTTATAGACGTCTTTGGCAGTCAACGGTTGTATTTGAATTGACGTCTATAGACGTATTTGGCAGCCAATGAGTTAATGTGCTTTGTCCCTAGTCAAATAAATAAATAAAAACAAAATGAGCGCCCAGAAGAGCCGAAAGCTGCGTTCGGCTTTGGGTTTTGTCCTCGTGGGGCACCTTGCTGGACCACCGGAGCGGGAGCGGGGGGGGCCTCGGCGGTGGTGGGGGGGGGCTTGGGGGTCTGGGTTGCCGGGGGAACGGAGCAGGTGGGTTTGTTCATCAGCAGAACCGGCCGGCCGTCGCCTTTAGGAGGCGGCTGGAACATCCTGAAACAGAGCAAAACCAGTCCAGTGGTCGGCCTTCAGCCCTGGTTTGGTGTCGCTTTGCAGCCGGTTTCTCATCCCGACGCACAAAATTCACACACTCCACCTCAGAAATCACACAGAAATCATCACATCCAAACAGGAAAAACTTTCATTTCTTACTCTGGAAACTACAAACATGTTTGTCATTCAAATCTCTGCGCTGTGTTGCTTCCTTGTATATTTGTTTGTTTTTGCTGTACTTTATGCACCTTTTCCTCCTTTTGAACTCTAACCGATGTGTGACCAGTGAATTTTTCCACTGTGAGATCAATAAAGCTCTTATCTTATCTTAATTAAAAGTATAGAATGTGCTTTTCAAACACTTTTGCACACATTTATCAACTGCAAAGCTTCTTTTTTGTATTCTGGACTACTTTTCTTTTTGCCTGTTACACCAAACCACTCTGTTAAAGCTAAGGTGGGACTTCATTCTTCTTTAAAACAATTATTTTGGAAACAATAATCTATTTTAAAGAGACTTTTAAATGAATTCAGCTCAGTTCATCAGACTTAAATGAGAAAGCTTCAGAGTTTGCTAAATAAAAAAATATGTTAGGCAGCTCAATGAATTGTTTTTATCCATTTTGATCTGTTTTTATTCTGTAAAGCACTTTGGTCAGCTCCAGTTGTTGTAAAGTGCTATATAAATAAACATTGATTGATTGATTTTAATTTCAATGGTTTCTTTCTGGTTCGAGTCATTTATCTGATCCATTTTACACTGACTCTGTCAAATCCAGCATTGTGGGATCTGGAGCCATTTCTACTAGCTCTAATAGTTAAATATGGGCAGAATTAGCCGGCTTTGGCCGTACCTGTTGACTTTCATCCGGACCGGCCTGGGTCTGGGCGGGGGTTCGGGGGACTCCACCACCTCCTGGATCAGCGGGCGGCTGACTTTGTGGCGGGGCAGGAAGACGTCGGCCTGGTAACGGGAAACGCGGCTCTCCAGCCCCACCAGGTCAAAAATGGAGAGGTCGCAGCGCTGGGGGGGGAGAAACCGGGAGAGGGACAAACTTTAGAGGCTACTAAAACTTTCAACTCCATACCGATACACAGGAAAATATTCAATAGCATTTTCGATAACACTAGGATGAAAACAAACACCCCAAAATTTGACCGAATTTGGACAGGTTAGTGTCTTTGGTTTCAAACTGACCTGTTAACCCGTATATTATAGATATTTTTAATGTATTTAACCTGTTATCGTGGCCGGTGGCCCGCTTTAATGTTGGCGTGTTATTATTAGCCATTAGCTGCAGCTAGCAATTCAAAGCTAACGTCACGTTACTGATCATAAAAAACGTAAATAGATAAATATATCAGAGAGAAAGGGGGCACAAAAGGCCTGTTTCAGGGGCGGCAAAGGCCCATTCCTTTTTTGACTATCGATACTTTTGACACATAGCTTCGGCTTAAATCAGGCCCATTTCAAGGACGGCAAAGGCCAGTTTCAGAAGCAGAAAAGGCCAGTTCCAGGGGCAGAAAAAGCCAGTTTCTAGAGCAGAAAATGCCTGTTCCAGGGGCAGAAAAGGAAAGTTCCAGGGGCAGAAAAAGCCCGTTTCTCGGGAAAAAAAGGCCAGTTCCAGGGACAGCAAAGGCCAGTTCCAGGGGCTGAAAAAGCCCGTTTCTTTTTTGAGTATCCATGCTTTCGTAACCCTACCTTCAGCGGGGGCACGTCCAGCGCCTCCTGCACCAGGGAGGCGGTGTGGAAGACGATGGGCTGCGTGATGAAGGGCGACTGGATGGGCCGCGGGTCGAACAGGTTGGGGTGGTTGCACACCTTCCGGAGCTGCATCAGGATGTTGATCACGGACATGAAGTGGCCACTGGCCAGCGTCTCCCTGGTCCTGTTGACCAAAGATAGAAAGAGAGAGAGAGAGAGAGAGAGAGATGGAGATAGAGAGATAGATAGATAGAGAGATAGAGAGAGAGGGAGGGAGAGAGAGAGAGAGAGAGAGAGGGAGGGAGAGAGAGATAGAGAGACAGAGAGAGACAGGTAGATAGATAGATCGATAGATAGATAGATAGCGAGAGAGATAGATGGATAGATAGCGAGAGAGATAGATGGATAGATAGATAGATAGATAGATAGATAGATAGATAGATAGATAGATAGATAGATAGATAGATAGATAGATAGATAGATAGATAGACAGACAGATAGACAGACAGATAGACAGACAGATAGACAGACAGATAGAGAGCAGGATGTTAGCTTCTGATAGGGGAAAGGAGCAGAAACAAGAACCAATGATGGAGGACACCCACGAGGCCTGAGCCATGAAGTCGTCGTAGAGGAATCGCTGGCGTTTGGACAGTCGGCAGCGAACCACGTGCTCGTATTTCTTGGGCATCTGCTTCTCCACGTCTGCTTTGATCCTCCGCAGCAGGAAGGGCCGCAGCACCTTGTGCAGCCGCTTGACCAGCCCCTCGTTGTACTCCTGGCTGCCCTCGATCATGCCGGTCAGCGGGTTGGAGAACCACTCCTTGAACTCGCGGTGGGACTGGAAGACGTGCGGCATGAGGAAGTGCATGAGCGACCACAGCTCCATCAGGCTGTTCTGCAGGGGGGTCCCCGTCAGCAGCAGCCGCCGGTGGCTGCAGAAAGAGGGAGGGACGGTCAACACACAGCCAGGTAACCCCCCCCCCACCAGCCCCCGGTGAGGTTAGGACGGTCAACAAGTATCGGCCAGCAGGAGAAAATGATCCTTTTTTAAAGTCCAATCCGTTTTTCAGCGCACCGATTAAAATAATCCATTCCACTTTGCTGTGTTGTTCCCTAATATCTGGTCCGGTTAAGGACACCCTTAAGCATTAGCATTAGCTTTAGCATCTCCTAACCCACATGTCTGTGTCCTAACCAAATTTTAAGCTATCAGTAAAAATGTCAGGTGTGAGATTATCTTGTGTTTATCCCTGAATAAACAGGTCAGTGTCTCTTTACCAACCAGTGTGTATTATATTCTATGAACTCCCCTAATTTAGCTGGCTAGCATTAGCATCTCCTAACCCACAGGTCTGTGTCCTAACCATTAAGTTGTTATCAGAGTAAATCCCTGTTCAACATGAGTCTGACAACTAAGTAAGTAGATAAATAACTTTAAACTTTAATAGGCTAGGATCGGGATCGGATCGGAAGTTAAAAAAGATGGATCGGGACATCCCTAGTGAACACACAGCCAGCCCGCCCCAGCCCCCGGTGAGGGCAGGACGGTGAACACTAGGCTTGTCCCGATCCAATATCTGGATCGGACGCCGATATTCGCAAAAAAATGCGTATTGTCCGGCAGGAGAAAATGCAGATCCAGTTTTTCTTTCAAGTCCGATCCCACATGAACATTAGCATTAGCATTAGCATCTCCTGACCATGTCAGGCGTGGGATTATCATGTCAGTTGTGTGGGTTTATTTTATCCCACTTCGTGTTTCTCCCTGAATAAACAGGTCATTGTTCCCTAATTAAGGTGGCTAGCATAAGCATTAGCATTTCCTAACCGACAGGTCTGTGTCCTAACCATTAAGTTATCAGAGTAAATCCCTGTTCAACATGAGTCTGACAACTAAGTAAGTAGATAAATAACTTTAAACTTTAATACATGCTCTGATAGGCCGGGATCGGATCAGAAGTTAAAAAAGCTGGATTGGGACATCCCTAGTGAACACACACACCAATGGGGGCAGCACAGCCAGGTAACCCCCCCCCCCAGCCCCCCCCAGCCCCCGGTGAGGGCAGGACCGTCAACACGTATCGGCCGGCAGGAGAAAATGATCCAGAGTCCAGATACAGTTTTTATTTTTTAAGTCCAATCCGTTTTCCAGCGCACCGATTAAAATAATCCATTCCACTTTGCTGTGTTGTTCCCTAATATCTGGTCCGGTTAAGGACACCCTTAAGCATTAGCATTAGCTTTAGCATCTCCTGACCCACAGGTCTGTGTCCTAACCATAAGACAGAAATGTAAATTTGAAGCTATCGGTAAAAATGTCAGGTGTGGGATTATAATGTCAGCTGTGTGGGTTTATTTTATCCCACTTTGTGTTTCTCCCTGAATATATCTTCAAGAAACTCTTGAAGACCCCCCTCTTCAAAGAGCATCTCCTATCCTAATCCTAACCCGTACCTCTACCCCCCCACAACTCCTTCTGTAGTCCCTCTACCTCTATCTCTATCTCACCACTGACTCTGATCAGTGTTTCTCCTCTGTATAGCTTATTGTCCTAGTGATGATAAATGTAATATTGTGTCAACTCTGTAAGTCGCTTTGGGTAAAAGCGTCTGCCAAATGCATAAACGTAAACATAAACAAACAGGTCAGTGTCTCTTTACTAATCAGTGTGTATGATTCAAACTATCCCTAATTAAGGTGGCTAGTATGAGTCTGACAACTAATTAAGTAGATAAATAACTTTAAACTTTAATACATGCTCTGATAGGCCGGGATCGGAAGAGAAAAAAGCTGGAAAAGGTAGTTTCTGCCACAATTTATATGTAGGGGGGTAGACAGGTTTGGAGAAAGTGGGAGGGAGGGAGAGAAAGGGGGAGAGAGGGAAGGACAAATAGGGAGGAAAGGAGAGAGAGAGAGTGGGGGGTGGGGGAGGAGGAAGTAATAGAATAGAAATAGAAAGACAGAAATAGGAGAGAACTATGGAAACAGAGAAATATAAAAAGAAAGGGTCAAAAAGACAGCAAGATGGAAAATGTGGATAAAGCCTAAAAAAAAAGGCTGCAGATCTCATGTAATTGGAGGAGAAAAAAAAAAAAAAAGGGGCAGATCATGTCTAAGGAGCACAAACTTTCTAGGATGCCAGCGGTGACCTTTGACCCCATAGTGTATCCAAACAGCCAATCACAGCTGGTTTTACTGGAGGCATTTTCTACCCATTCGGGTCATAAATCCCTTAAAAAAAAAAAGGAGTCAAAACGTCTGGAAAACAGACCTGTTGAAGTTGAGCAGACTCTGCCAGCGCTGGGACTTGAAGTTCTTGATGTTTTGAGCCTCGTCCAGGATCAGGTACCGCCAGGACTTCCTCCTGAAGGCCTGGTGGTCCTGCAGCACCAGCTTGTAGGAGGTGATGCACACGTGGAAGGCGTTCGGCTTCGTCCAGCCCTGAGAGGAGAGACAGCCCATATTTCAGCTTCGGCTCAGCAACAGATGCAGTTCGTGACCAAAAAGACCCGTTTTTTAACAGTTAACCACATAAAAAGACACAGAATGAAAACATGAATGAGACCAATCCATGTTTTCATCATTGATCACTCAAACAATAAAAAAAAATGACACAAAAAGCAGAAAAAAAACGACCATTTTGGTAGCAGTTGGCAAATATTTATCCCAAATATGTTAGTTAAGTTCACTAAACTTTTGTCTTTTCACTCAATATCAAAAAGGAATTAAAGAAATCTTTCATTTTAACTTTGATTTCACATAATTTAGTCCATTTCACAATAACAAAGCTTGCAATTTGTGGGTGGTGCTGCTAGTAGACCGCTCTCACAGTACTTTAAAGTGTCAGAACACCACAAAATTTAAAATAAACTGCAATTTTTAAGGGAAAAAATAAAAGTTTTTGGCTTTAAAAGCAGAACAATGCCATTAAATAGACGACGAGTCAGCCCTCTATGCAGTTTTGCATCAGTAAATAAGTAATAAATCTAGTTTCTCACTACTTTCCCACGCTGGGGAAACCCCATACCTGTCTCTTCAGCTTCCTCTCCTTCTGACTGCCGAAGTAGGTGAGGATCTTAAAGCCGGGACACCAGCGCTTCAGCTCCATCTCCCAGTTCAGCATCACGCTGGTGGGGACGATGATGAGGTGCGGGCCCCAGTTCCCTAAAAAAAACCAGCAGGTGGAGCCACAGAGGGAGGTTTAATTTCGGTGGGAAAACGCAGATTTACGGGGAGTCCTGGAGAGCTCGGACAGGTGAGTCACCTTTCTTTTTTTTTTTTTATATATATATTTATTAGGTTTTCAGAATATAACATACATAAATCATACATGAGAGTATAAGTAAATACAAATGCACATATACACGCAGACTTACATATCCATGTATATACGGTGTGTAACAAAATCCTGTATGAAAGCAGTATACTCTTATCAGAATCAGAATCAGAATTAGGTTTATTGCCAAGTAGGTTTTTCACCTACAAGGAATTTGATTTGGTGTTAGGTGCACAACACTTCTATGAGAAACAAAAAAATAATAAATAATAATAATAATAATAATAATAAATAATAAAATAAAATATTGAATGTCCAACGACAAACCAGAAAATGTCGAACATAGTATTGGGTAAATAAGTGAGGTAGAGGGGGGTGAGAGAAGAATAGTTGGGGGTCACTGGCCTCGTTGATGAATCCAGTAACAAAAATAAAGACGTACGATAAGAGAAAACAAAAACAAAAACAAAAAACAAAAACGAGTCACCTTTCTCACAGGCCAGGTGAGCCAGCAGGGCGATGGTCTGGATGGTTTTGCCCAGACCCATCTCGTCCGCCAGGATGCCGTTCAGCTTCTTCTCGTACATGGTGACCAGCCAGTCCAGCCCGATGTGCTGGTACTCCCGCAGGGTGCCGTGCAGCAGGAAGGGGATGGGCGTCTTCACCTGTTGTTAGGGGAAAAACACATGCATTACTTCATTATTGTCATAGTGATGATAAATGTAATATTGTGTCTACTCTGTAAGTCGCTTTGGATAAAAGCGTCTGCCAAATGCAGAAATATAAACATAGTGGTTACAGAGGCACATTTCATTCACCTGGAAAAAAAAAGTTCTGTTCTTATGAAGTAAAATAATTTTTAACCCCAAAAAAACATCTTTAAAAAAAAAAAAAAAATCAGTTTTGTGATTAAATGAGATTTTCTACCAAACAAATAAATAAATCCTGGTTTATCTTAAATTAGATATTTTCAGCCAAATAAATAAATGAATCTATTGTCCCCAAAAATATAAAGATAATTCTCATTTCTGAATTAAGATATACTTGAATAAATAAATAAAAAGATGAATAATTAAATATGAGTTTATCTGAATTAAAAGCAGAACCATAAAAAAAAGCCAAATTTTTCCTGATTTTTAAAAATGAATTTCAATATATCAGTAATTTCTGAATTTTTCTGAAAAAATATATCAAAAAGAATAATCTTTTACATAATTTTTAAACATTTCTAATTGACAATTTCCCATTTTAAAAGAATAAAATTATGAATTAATGAGATTAGAAAGAAAGAAAAAGAAAAGCTTGATTTTAAGACGTGATTTGCTCATCAATATTATTATCATCATCATTATTATCATGGGTGTCCGGAGACAGTCATGTTTCCTGCTTTGCTTCTCAACTCAGTTACATCTCAACAAGAGAAAGATCTTGAATGAATAAAAATAATCTAAATTAGCTGAATGGGGGGGGGACCTTGGTGGTGGCCAGCGTGTATCCTTTGGGCTGCAGGCTTTCTGCGGTGGCCGCGATGTGGCTGATCTCCTTCTTGGGCCGGGAGCTGGAGGAGGGCGGGCTGTTCTCCCCCTCCTTCAGCAGGAGCTCCATCCCCTCCTCCCCACCTCCGTCCTCCTCCTCTTCCTCGCTCTCCTCCTCCTCCTTGGCGCTCTCCTCCTCCTCCGCGCTGTCTCCTGGTGACTCTGAGAGGAGGAAACTGTTAGGCTGATTCCACCTAATTCTACCCGGTCCTTATGGAGACTTGGAAAATGAACAGAAGAGGTCTTTAACTGCTGGACTGCCAGCCATTTTCAGAACAGAGAGTCCCATACTGCCAAAGTTTTTTGGAGCATTTTGACTGATTTTTCAAGAGCCACAGAATAGTTTGTGCTATGACTATGTAAACACCGAACACACCAAAAGAAAGAGTAGACTCTCTTCTTTCATCAGGAAAAAAAAATTGTTTCTACCTTATTCCGTTCTTCCTGGACTTGCGTCTCACCGGCGACATGTTCTCTCATATCGAACCGTTACCTTTTTCTTATTTGCCTACAGTCTATGTTCATCTCCCATCAAAAGTGGCACTGCCCCCTAGAGGGTCAATTTGTTACTACATACTCTGTCTAGAAGCCTGATATTTACGGACAAGCTTTAGCAGATCGTCCCCCAGACACTCTCGTTGAAAAACATAAAAGACGTCTATAGACGTCTTTGGCAGCGAATGAGTTAACAATGAATGGAATTTATTCCGGCCACAAGTAGGATATCACAGCGCTGGACTCTCTGGGGAATGTTGTCTCAATGATGCGATCCCACCAAAAAAACCCCGATAGACGTCAGTCAGGTACATTTATCTTCTTGGGCTAAGCTCCGCCCCGTACAATGCAAAACTGGTCTTCGCAGCACCGAGTTGTTGTAATTGGCCATTTAACTCTAACGTAAACATGCCAGCTTCCTGTTCACGTGATCGTATAGTGCAGTAAAAAAGTGTTGTGAATGTTGGTTGTTGGCGTGCGGCTAAAAACACAGGATGAGTTTATCTGAATTAAAAGCACAACCGTAAAAAAGCCAAAAAAATGTTCTCCTGATTTTTAAAAATTAATTTCAATATATCAGTAATTTTTTTTGAAAAACAATATAAAAATGAATAATTTCTTACATAATTTAAACTTTTAATTGACAATTTCCCCATCTTAAAAGAAAAATCTGAATTAATGAGATTAGAAAGAAAGAAGAAGAAAAGCTTGATTTTAAGACGTGATTTGCTCCTCAATATTATTACTAACATCATTACAATCATGGAGACAGTCATGTTTCCTGCTTTGCTTCTCAACTCAGTTACATCTCAACAAGAAAAAAAGATCTTGAATTAATAAATTCCCCTCTGGGGGGCTGGAACCGGCTGCTACCTGAGGAGGAGCTGTTGCTCTCCACGTCGCTCTCGTCCTCCTCCGTCTCCACCTCCTCGTCTCCCGACTCCTCCGAGTCCGAGCTCGCTTTGGAGCCGGAGGCCGACGGAGCCTCGAAGTCCGAGGCGTAGGCCCCCTTATACTTCTCCAAAAGCTCCTCCATGCTCATGTCACCTGGGGGGGGGGGGTAGAGATAAGGTGTGTGGGTGTGGGGGGGTGTTTGTTTTAACACTTTTCGACAAAAGCTCTTTAAAGAGTAAGAAAATCACCTAAAACTAAGACTTAATTAAAGGTAAAGTTACTTGCAATACTCAAACAAAAAAAAAGGCATCCTCCTGCTTAACGGTCGCCATGGCACCGGAAGAAGGGGGGGGTTGTTTTAACACATTTCAACAAAAGCTCTTTAAAGAATAAAGAAATCACCTAAAACCAAGACTTAATTAAAAGGAAAAGGACCTGAAATACACCCAAAAAAGCATCCTCCTGCTTATCAGAGGTCAGGTCGCCATGGCACCGGGGGGGGTTTAACACATTTAGACAAAAGCTCTTTAAAGAAAAAGAAAATCCCCTAAAACTAATTCTTAATTAAAGGTAAAATGACCTGAAATACACACAAAAAAAGCCTCCTTGTACCTATCTGAGGTCAGGTCGCCACGGCACCGGGGGGACAGTTTTTGTTGTTATGTTTTCAACAAAAGCTCTTTAAAGAATAAGAAAATCACCTAAAACCAAGACTTAATTAAAGGTAAAATGACTCGAAATACAAAAAAAAAAGTATCCTCCTGCTTATCGGAGGTCAGGTCGCCACGGCAACAGGCTCAGGGGTCAAACCCCCTTTAACTAAGAGGCTCACCCTCTTTGGCCAGGTCATCCAGCTCCTCTGCGTGGTTGACGTTTCCCTCCACTTTCTCCTGGGCAGCGATGGTGTCCTCCTCATCCTCGGCTAAAAAACGGGGACAAAACCAGCTCAATTTCCGGTTCAGAACCCGGGGAAAAGCGTTTCACCAGAACCTGGGCGCTCACCATCTTCGTCGTTGGCAGTGAATTCCCCATCTTCCCCCTCTTCCTCCTCCTGCTCCTCCTCCTCTGGTGATGAAGAGGACTCCGAGCTTTCTCCGTCTGAGCCCGAGTCCTAGATAATCCAATGAGTCAGAGCTTATATAAAAGTCAAGCATCTGTGGCCAGTAGCAAACAACAAACCGGCGTAAACCCGTTTAAAGCGGAACGCTTTGCATTAACAGCTTTAATGAAACGGAAATCAGTCTTAATTCAACCAGAAACTGACTGAAAATTATATTAAAAGCAGAAAAAGGGACCAAATTACACCCAAAAATGCTCAGTTTCATTGAGCTTCTGGCTTTGAAAACGTTACAAAAGTGATAAAAAAAGACAGCTTTAACACATAGTGAGACTTTAAATATGCATAACTGTATATTTAAAGTCTCATGAGATGCGTTCTGAGTAAAAGGGAACCACCGGCTACACAGCTGTCCAGGCCTTGCTCATTTTTTCTACTTATAACTCCAGTAAAAACAAAAGTAAAGCTCTGGTCAATCAAATCTGGCTGTACTGAACACTTTATATTTAACCCCTTATTGTTATTATTAGTATATTTTCAATTAAAAAAAAGAAAAATACCACAAAAAAGCATCCTTTTAGCCCCCTCATTTCAGACTGTCACACTAAATGGATTAATATATTTCAGGGAAAATATCATTAATCATTAATAATTACTATAATAACAATAATTATAATAATAGGTATTAATATTATTATGAATAATGATTAATAATTCATCATTATTCATATTAATTAATATATTTTCCCGTAACTCAAAAATGATAAGTTTGGCTACGATTGTCTGAACTAGCTCGGCTGCCTTCTGCTCCAGACAAAAATGATGATTAGTAGATAAATGGGACACATCTGCCCACCATCCACTGTTACTCATGTGGGCACATAGTTTAAATCATAACAAACCACAACGCAAAGCCAGTAAAAGCCAGTAAATCTGCTTTGATAAGTTTTTAATGTTTATTCCGACGTCTGAGGCTAAAAATTGAGGTTTTCTGAACTCCAGAGACACGGGAAACGCGGAGGTTCCAGCTCAGTGGACGGGTTGTGTTTACCCACCGGTGGGTATCTTTAGCCTGTGGGTACCTGTGGGGGGGGCAGCTTGAGGGTGCTGAGCAGCTGGTCCAGGGGCAGCGTGCTCTCCTCCCGCAGCAGATCGATCTCCCTCTGGTGGCTCTCCGCGTCGTTGCCCTCCTGCTGCTCCTCCACCTCGATCGTCTCCTCGTCATCCTCCTCTTCACACGGAGGCTCAAAGTCTCGGTCTGCAGGGAGGCGGGAGGAAGAATTAATTAATTAAAGATGGCCTCCAGAAGGGATGTCCCCATCCAGCTTTTTTTTACTCCCTATCCGATACCGATCGCGGCCTATCAGAGCATGTATTAAAGTTTAACCCTGTAATGGCAAATGTATCATATTTGATTCATACTGTTTCTGAAATGTTTTGCGTCTGACTAATTTTGCATAATTTAGTGGTAAAAACTTTGTTAAAAATCCTATTGTACACAATCAGATACACCTGATAACAGGGGGCAGAAGACTACACAAAAAATAATCTTGACTTATCGCATAGTAATAAATTATTAAAAATGTATTTCTGTTTTTTCTTTTTACATATTTTGTTAAAAGGCCAAATAAGGAATTCAAACCCAAAAAAAGTAATTTTCTGTTTTGTTTGTTTTAGGCTTGTCCTGATCCAATATATGGATCAGATCAGCCGCCGATATTCTCAAAAAAACTGTGATATCGGCTCCAAAGCCGCAGGAGAAAATGCAATTCCTGACTCTTGATACATTTTTTTTTTTACTGAGGGAAGTGGAAACGTGCATTCAGGAGCCGGAATCAGCTTCACTGAGAAGCAGGAACTCAAACATTTGGGGGTCTTTTCAGACTTTTTGCATCATAAGCAGCCAAACTGGAGAGGACAGAAGGCGGGTCAGAAATGGAGGACAAAAGGAGGGTTAAACCCTCCTGCAAATGTATTTATTGATTTATTTCTCCAAATGCTTTTGTGTGGAAATATCTGAATCTGTACTGTATCCTCGATTTTTGCTTTATTGTTAAATCAATAAATCGGCTGCTACTCTGCAGTTTTTTCCTTTATTCAGACACTTTTAGTTTTGTCAGGCTGTTGGTTTCCCACAGAACAGACTTTACAGACGGGGCCTGAACACATCATCGCCTTAGGAACACAAACCAAGAGATGGAACAAACTTCCTCAAAGCTGCTGGCTTCCTTTCTTTGGTTGGGTTTTACTGCCCTTATTTGACTTTTTCTTTCCTTTTAATCCTCTTTCTGTACATTTGGTGGTGGTACTTATTAGGAGGTCTGTGGGGCCTATTTGGTCAGTTTCCTCTGAAAAATGCTCTTTAAGAATAAAATGACTGAAATATTTTGTAGAAATAAACCACCTGGAGTCTCCTGAATAGCATGTGTTGTTTTTAGATTTTTTTGCAACAGGTAAAGTGTGTCCAGTTGACTGTTTTTAGGCTAAAAAAGACGTTTTACGCCCCAGAAGAACCAGAAAACGGGACGAATCGCCGGATCTGTGAGGTCGTTTTTCCCACATCATGCGGTGACCTTGGCGGCCGATCGCAGCTTTTTGTCTCCGTGAAACATCTGAGTTGCCTTGGCAACGCCCCGTCCAATCAGGCGAACCGGCATGGAAACGGAGCCCTAAAAGAGGAGGGGGAAACGGCTCACCGTCCTCCTCGGCGGCGGCGGGGGGGCGGGGCTTCTGCGGGGACGCCGGCGCCGCCTCGACCGGGCGGCTGCGGGCCAAAGATTTACTCAGGAGGTCCGAATATTTCTCCGTTTGACCCACGATGAAGTCCAGTTGCAGGTCCAGGGCCTTCTTCCGCTTCTCCTCCAGTCGGGACTGCTGCTTGTACTGCACCACCTTCCACAGGAAAACACAGTTTAGGCTCGAAAACACAGTTTAGGCTCAATAACCCGACAAAAACATCTGTATCGGCCCCCGTATTGGAAAAAAAAAGAAGTTTTGTTACAGTATCAGTGAGAGATGGCGGCAAATGTTAACCCTTTAAAGCCTGATCCAAGAAAAATAGGAAGAATATTGGATTTTTTTAGTCTGAAGTCTTTCTTTGGTCCCTCAACAACATATGAAGAAAGAAAACAGAAATTATTTTGATCAAATTAGCGTGCAATAAGTCAAAAATATATTTTCGTGCAAGAAAATTAGGAAGAATATTGGATTTTTTTTGTCTGAAATCTACATATGAAGAAAAGAAAACAGAAATTATTTTGATCAAATTAGCGCGCAATAAGTCAAAAATATATCTTCGTGCAAGAAAAATAGGAAGAATGTTGGATTTTTGTGTCTGAAGTCTTTCTTTGGCCCCTCAACAACATATGAAGATAAAAAAACAGAAATAATTTTGATCAAATTAGCGTGCAATACGTCAAAAATATATTTATATAATAAATATATATATATTATTCTACTGGCTGTTATCAGGTATATCTGAATGTGTACAACAGGAGTTTGAGCAAAGCTTTTACCACTGAATGAAGTCTCAGATCCAAAAGACTTCAGAAACCAAATAAATCAGATATAATACATCTGGCATTATAGGGTTAAATATCAAACTAAAGATAGAGTTGAAATGATCTTTTGTGACATAACTCGTATATAACTCGCTAACGTTAGCATTGCGACTGACCCATAAAGGTCTATTCAGATCTATTCAGTCTAATTCTATGATAGCCTGCTAGCCACAGAGATTATTTCAATTTATCAGGCATCTGGAACTTTTTAACTCTGCCTCAGCCATCAGTTTGGACGGCCACATAGATTATGAGTGCAGATTGTTCCAGGGGAGCTAAAACGTAAAGCTCCAACTCCACCAGCTTCACCAGACACCCTCAGAGGGGAGCCAGCTTTAATTAACCAGCTAACGAGTAAATCCCTGTTCAACATGAGTCTGATAACTAAGTAAGTAGATAAATAACTTTAAACTTTAACACATGCTCTGATATGATGCAATCATCATGCAATCACTAATTTTAATTTTGTAATGTCATTGTCTGAACGTGTGTCTCGCTGTTTTAACTGATATTGTATTATGTGATTTTGTGTTGTTTTGTCTTCCTGCCTCAGGACGACAGATGCGAATTAGCAACTATGCTAGAATCTGGCTCATTTACACTGTGTATGAGATTGTTCATTAATGTGCACTGTCCTGATTAAATAAATAAATAAATGATAGGCCGGGATCGGTATCGGAAGTAAAAAAAGCTGGATCAGGACGTCCTTAGTTTGTAGCTCACAGTAAAATTCGGCACATTTATGTCTGTGTCTTGAAAAAAGAATAATAATAATAAATGTTTTGAGTCGATTCAGCGCTTTTTCCTCCATCAGATCGGATCCGGCCGACTCAGAGACTCAGATATGGGGAGCGCCCACCTTCTCCACGCTGCTCCAGAAGGCTCGGACCTCCTTGGCAATGGAGGAGGCGACTCTCCTGATCTTGGCGTGCTCGTCTCTCTTGGCCTTCTCCTCCTTCTGCCTCAGATCCTCGTGGTGCCGCATCACCATTCGCACCACCTGAAGGACAAACGGGAGATATCTGGATCGGAACGGCCGCAAAAAACTGCATATCGGCCGGCAGGAGAAAATTCAGATCCAGACTACAGATCCAGTTTTTTTATTTTTAAGTCCGATCCATCACGAGCGTTAGCATTAGCATCTCCTAACCCGCAGATGGTTTATTTCTACAGCACATTTCAGTCAATTCAAAGATATTTTATTCTAAAAGAGCATTTTTCAGAGGAAACTGACCAAATGGGCCCCGCAGACCTCCAAATAAGACAACTAATTGGATCATTCGCATTTGCTAACCCACAGGTCTGTGTCCTAACCATTAAGTTGTTATCAGAGTAAATCCCTGTTCAACATGAGTTTGACAACTAAGTAAGTAGAAAAAATAACTTTAAACTTTAATACATGCTCTGATAGGCTGGAATCAGGATCGGAGGTGAAAAAAGCTGGATCGGGAGATCCATAACTCAAAGTGCTTCTTTTTAAAGGTGAAACGCTGTATTCTCACCTGCC